AAGCCAAACACTTCAGAGACATGTTTTGTATACATCTGAGACCTATAATATATTGTGGAAAAAGAGTACAATAGGGGACCTTTAAAGATTTTTTTGGTAAACAGTGCCTTTGTCTAAGTGACGTTACATTTGTTTACATTACATGTCACTTGTTAGACGCTTTTATCCAAAGCGACTTACATACTTAATACTGTGGGCAATCCCCACAGGAGCAATTTGGGGTGAAGTGTCTCAGGGACACAACGACATGCTGACTCACTGTAGTGGGGTTTGAACCTGTGCTCCCCTGATCCGAACAGAGAGAGGGAGAGAGAGCTGCCCCACAGTTGCTTGTGTTCTCCCCTTTGTGACTCTTTTGTGGCTATTTTTGTACACTTCCGCCTCCTGGGCAAGTGATGGCAAAGCTGTGAGGCAACTGGACTGTATGGTGTCAGATACAGACCAGCCTTGATTAAACACATGAATCACAAAACCAATCACATTTGGATTGCATTTGCAAGATGGGACAGATTATGTAAAGAGAAAAACAAACAATGCCAGGCTGAGCTTTTTTAGAGCCTTGACTTCATGTGTGTGTGAATTAGGCTGTTTGTGTACACATGTGTGTATTGCATGTATGACTGTGAAGTTGTCCGACAGTGGCACAGTCAGTAGGGGCTTGGACTGTGAGCCGTAGAGTTGCCGGTTCAAGTCCCCGAACAGACCATATATGGAGTGTGGACTGCTACTTGGAGAGGTCCCAGTTCACCTCCTGGGCCCTGCCGTGGTGCCCTTGAGCAAGGCACCGGACACCCCCCTTCCCCCCCCCCACTCGCATTGCTCCCCGGGCGCTGTGCAATAGCTGCCCACTGCTCCTAGTACTAGACTCCTGGTACTAGGATGGGTTAAATGCAGAGGCCACATTTCCCTGTGTGTGCTGTGTGCTCTGCATGTGTGACCATTAAAGAGGGGTTTCATCCCTCCAATTCAATTCTAAGTATGCCTTTTTCTGCCAGTATAGACTCAGGAGGATCCAGACTGTGGCAAGGTAGTGTGATTCTTTCAACACGGCCACAGAATAACAATGAGGGAGGAAGACACAGGGAACACCACGTAGGGAGTGGCGTAACAAGCCTCAGAGATGTGAGCTGCAAGTCATGGGCCTAAACATCGAAAACATGCAAGCACCAACACACATTGAACACATGGAATTAACTGAGATCTAGTCATTGGAAACACACGTTACTATAACCATGTTTTGCCTTAAAGGTGGGGTAGGTAATTCACTTCAGAAACACTTTTTGTTATATTCCATGGAATGCTCTTAATATCCCGATAGCAATGAATACATGAAATGCTTTCACAATAAATACATTAAAAAATGTCATCTGTGGAAGCTGTAGTACTGTAAAAAGCACGACCAATCATCTGAGCCGGCCCGGCTAAAATAACTGGATGGCCTACCTGCCTGTCAGCCTTCCATCTGTGCACAAACTTATCTCGTGCCCTCATTGGTCATGTGCGCGTTCGTGTGTGTTGGAGGAGGGGCTCTGTAAGGAAGTCTGAAGGAAGGGGCAGATTTCTTTCGGCTGCGTACTTTCAAATTCTAGCGCACTCGAGCTGGTTTCTCCATTCTTACCTACCCAACTTATTCCTTTATCTATGTATTATTATTACGAATATAAATCTTTATTTATATAGCACTTTTCATACCCCAGGTGCAGCTTAAAGCGCAATAAATTCTCTTCAGGTCAAATGGTAAAACCTTTTTGAACACATGCAACATAAAAAACCTAATATATTAATTAAAGGGACACAAGGAGGTAACATAGGTATGATAATAAAAAATAAATAATGATAACCCTCTGCGTTCAAAATAAAATAAAATACATAAGACAAAATGAATAAATACAATCAAACATAAAAACCATCAAATAAATAAATGAATTAAACAATAAAGGTTCATACAAATGTTAAGCTAAACTACGCTAACCGGCTGCTTCTTCATATTTAGCTTACAGACATAAAAAAGGTTTTAATTATCACATTTAATTCTTGCCAAGACAGCAAATTAGCAAACCAGGACATTTTCTTCAGCCATACAGTACAGTGTTCAATAATTAAGACCAAGGAGACCATTTGATATACTGTATTACAGCAAAGCATTATCTGTTAGTGAGTAAACATGACTGTAAACTCAAAATGAATCATAATTTAAAATGATGTAAAAAAATGGTGCACATGTCAGACTGAAAAATGAAAGTCACTGTATCTATGATTGGATCATAAGCTGCAGGCACCAAGAAATCATGCAAACACAGCGGTAACTCTCCATATTCCAGAGAGTTTGGTCAGAAAGATGGGATATTATTTAATATTATTATTATATATATTATTTGGTGTAAGGTGGTACAAGATGTATCTGGCTTGCAACCCACACTGTTATCTTAGTTTCTTTCATTTGTGCTTGATAGCAAAGTGGTGCCTCTCCCATTTTACATAAGACTTCTCCAACGAGCACACTCAGTACTGATAAGGGCAACATGACATCACTGAGCAGTGCTAGACAGACTTTCCCTACATCAAAAGGAGCGACTGTGAAAAAGGCAAAGGGATAGCACCACTAAGGGAGAGTCTGACAGAAACACTGCAGTTAAGAGGAGAATAAGCACAAACAACACTGCTGGTATCCAGAGTGTCTCCTCTCGGCCTTAAAAAGATTAAATACATAAAACAGAAGGAAATTATAAAAAGATTATTAAAAAAAAGGTGACAGAAAACTCAACAAAAGAAAGACGAAAATAAAGAAGGTGACTGCTTTTTTTCTAAGGAGCCTATTTTCACGACTCGTATTGATGAGGATTACGCACAGAGTCAAGGATCAAGCCTCGATAGAAATGACTGGCTTCCTGCTGTACTTTAAATCCTTCTAAGCATCAGAAATTACGCCCACACACACACGCCGGTTGACACATACGGTATGCATGAACCCTAACCCTACCCATGGAAGGACATGGATCCCAAAGTCTCACACACTGTAGCCACCTACAGTGTGGAGGCTCACAGCAGCCCTGCCCAGACTCCACAATCTCAACAGTCTTGCTTATAAAACATACTGCTCAGTTCCGACACACACTCATGTACATGTACATGCGTCAGCAAGTGAACCCCTGCTGACAGCTGGCATTATTACAGCCAATGACAAAGAAGCGAGGCACAGTATGTAGGGGGGGGGGTGGGGGGTGGCGATGACTCAACCAAGGTGTTGTGTGTGTCTCCTACAGCCAGTATTTACAAGGTAACACTGTTTTATACTCATTATATTCTTACTGTATTCAGTCCTAGAGGAGTCAAATATGATTCATCCTTCTTGTACGGTATCAATTTGTAACAACATCGTTCTTTACTGGCTGGCAGTTCTGGCTTTGAAACAGCATGGTGTTGAAAGGATCTATATCCAATTAGAGCATCAGTGGCTTGGATGCTCATCTCTTTCAGCATAATTACATATTTCCCCATGCTTGGCCTCAATTAAGTGATTGTGGGGTTCAGCTGCTCATTAAACCAGCAAGCGTGTGCAAATTAAGGTTACAGAAAAAGAAACAGACCGTAAAGAATTGTAGTCTTTATGGCGGCCATCTTGTTTTGGAGTGCTAGTTTAGCAATGAGTCAGGGGAGAACTTCTATCTTTCTATGTTATATTTTGGTGATTATACATTAGACAAGTGGCATGGAAGGACACACGTACATACACAGGAATGATATTCCAGATTGTCTTTGTCAAACAGGCATAGAAATAGTGAGACATTTTCAGAAATTGAGTTACATGATACGTTAGCTTAGCACAACATCAGGAAAAGAGGGGGTAAAGCTAGCCTCTAATAACAAGAGAATGAATTCAAACTAAATAATTAGCTGACCAGCACCTTTAATGCGTACTCAATAACACTTAAAAAGAAACATGTCTTAAGCTTTGCTATAGTTATATTCTGTGTTAGAGATGGTTCTTAATAGAGCCAGGACTACACAGCAGATTACCACACTGAAACCACCACCTGACAAAGTTGTGATTTCATATCTCAATACAGGATAAAGCTGTACCTTAAATCACATGGTCATGTCAGAAAAGATAATCAAATGACAAAGTAGACAATAACTAAGGTACTTCATATGGAATATTTCGACGAGCATATGTAAATCTGTTTTGCCTGCATGCTGAAAAACCACTCATACGAAAGCACTCTTTGGCCTATATTCACATAATATACTGATCCTACACCATAGTGCCATCTGCTCAGTGAATCTCACAGTACCGTGTTACTTCCATATGAGACAGAACACCACAGAAACACAGGAAAACCAGTCCCCACACCTCGGGAGATAAGACGGCCTAAAGTGTTTCCACGTCATCATTAGACAAACAAAGAACACACTCATACACAAACACTAGCAAGCAAACATACAAGCATTACACACTTCAAAGAAGCTTATACCAAATTTCACAATAAAAGTATAGTCAATGGGAAGAAAGTGTTTCTATTCGGTCAAATAAGAATACACACAAAGCAGATATTGAAACAGAAACACACACACTCGTGCTTAGTATTCAGTTTAAGAGTCAATTGTTGGAAGTGCTCTTTGATGATGAGACGTCCACTCAAAACTATTTCATTTATCCTTCAGGCTGACCTCTCCCCTAGAGAAAGCTTGGTAGTAGAGACTGTTAAAATGCAGCGTAACTGATCACATTTACTGAAGTCAAATGTGTGCAACGGTAATTTGGTGTAAATGTATGTACTTTGTTGAAATAATAACACGCTATCCTCCTTTCAGAGTACTTTGCAATGTGCTTGTGGGGAAAACACAGAGCCCATCCTCCTGATGGTATCTTTACTGTGACCTATTTCAATGAAACATCGAGAGGATGTTTGCGTTCTATTAATACACGACAGATCGCATAAATTACTCTTAGGTGCAGAGTGCTGAAGGCACAGGAACCTTAAGAAAAATGAAGTTCTTACCTCTCCTAAATGGGGAGTAGGATTAAATCCACAAAGGTTGCAAACTGTCTTCTTGCACTCGGTGCAGAAGCTGTAGTTCGGGGCGTCTGCTGATCCGACGTTCAGCTCCGTCTTACAGAGAGGGCAGCTCTCCTTGCTAGTTGGGTCAGGTGCAGGTGCTGGTTCAGGGGCAGGTGCTGGTTCAGCTGCTGGCCCCTTCTCCCCCTGCTCCACAGAAAGGGTTCTGAGGGGTTTCTTGGACTTAGCAGGTGGAGTGTCAGGAGCAGAGTCCGAATCAGGAGGCGACCCAGGAGCAGAGAAGGGGGAGTCAGGTGGTGAACCAGGCTCAGAATCCATAGGGGAACCTGGTCCAGAGTCTGGTGGCGACCCAGGCGGAGATACTGCCGGCTTCTTCTCTTCCTCTCCAGAGACGATATTTGTGGCTGAACTCAAGAGTGAAGAACCAAAACTGAACATCTGAGAAGCAGCAGCGGGAGGTTTAGCTGATTCTGTCAACCCTCCAAAACCTCCAAACAACTTCCCAGCCACCGACTCCTCCTGCTTTGGGGCAGTCTGCGCTTGAGGCTTCGGTGAATCCATCAAACCGCCAAACCCTCCAAACAGTTTCCCTGTAACAGACTCGGTAGCTTGAGAAGCACCCGCAGGTTTGGTATCTGTTAAGCCTCCCAGACTGATACCTCCAAAACCCCCAAAGAAGCTGGACTCCTGCTTGGCTTTAGCTGGAGACTGCTGGGGACTGGGCTTGGTCTGAATGGGACGGCCCGTCTTGGGGTCGATCTTTGGGGACCCTCCCAACGAGGAGCCCGGGGAAAGCGGCCCAGGAGAGGTAGGGGATTTCTGCCTGGGTGTGGTCGGAGGTGTTAACCCTTGGTCGGAGGTACTCTGCTGCCTTATCAGCAGCTTGCCAGGCTTGCCAGGCCCCTGTCTCTGGGGCGAGGGCGGGGCCGAGCCTTGTTTGGGCTTCGTCATGCCGGGGGGGTCCATACCGCCCATCGCTCGCTGCATCTGGCAGTTGAGACATAACCACTCTTTACCCTGCGCAGGAAACAAAAGATGGGTTAGATTTGACTGGAACACATTAGCACACTGTTATGAGCACAAACATCAACGGCATGTGTAATGACTAATTACAGTACAGTGGATACACAGGCAGGCATACCTAATTAAACCCCTAAAATAACCATTTGGTTTAGTGTAAAATAAAGACACCAATTAGCGTTAAAAAAGTTGCTGAATCCTTTCTCCCCTAGCCAAATTGCCTATTTACAACATGAGAGAATTTAAATCTGCCAACGGTTACATAAATACTCATCAGTCCAGAAAATTATATAATAAATGTTTGTTTATAACTAAATCAGAAAAACCCTGGGATTTTTACATGATCCTTTTATTTCAGCAAAAAGAAAAAGTGTGTAAATACTATTCATGTATCAATGATGTTTGTTCTTATTATTCAGCATGGGCTCTGTAAATGTTGGACCAGCTTAAACAAATGCATTTCATTGTCTATCTTCTGCCCACACAGTATATCTGAACGCCTGTTCCAAAAAAGCCTGGCTACACCACAATGTTTAGAGTATCTCAGTGTGTGCAAACCACAGTGTTAAAAAGGGACAATGTTGACTATTGGATCACTTACTCAAAACAATGTGTGTATTTTTGGGTGTAATACTCATTGCATAATGTGTAAACAGAGATGAGGTCAATTCAACCAACAGAAGTGTAAACTGTATAGGATACTGTAACTGCAAACAGAAATACATAGAGCTGCTCAATGAGTGACCCCAACTGCAGATCGATCTGCATAATAACACGCCCCCAGAAGAGGCTTAAGCAGAAGGAACCGGGCATTCTGTTGTGCTGTAGTCATGGCCCACCAGTGCTTACAGTCCCTATGTGACGGAGTGTCCTCACTGCCTGGCACAGTCTCTTCCTGTGGCCATGACATGAGTCACCTTGGTCAACATTCCCGGGTCCATATGGTCCCTCTGTTTCTCAAATGTGCCACTCTCATGAGATGCACTCCCCCCGCCAGGCTCAGAGAACAGCAACATGCTGCTAACAGGCTAATGTGGGGTTTAATAATATAGTAAGAATTCTTATTTTTGATCTTATTTTTGAAATCGTATTATTTTACTCATTTGATTTTCAATTTGACAAGGTGGATTCAACTTTCAAGATTCACTTTTTGCAATAAACACTTTAGTTTAGTCTCTGAAGATTAGAGTAATAGATGTTTAAGAATGACATATTTGCAGTGTAATGGCTATATAGCACACTTGATTTGGCACTTTGATATTTCACACACAGATACAAATGTCCCACTCCCTGACTCAATAACATGGACTGTCTTCTCTATTATGAGATCAATCCCAGTATACATGGTGAGATACTGCAATTTTGTTCATCATTGAATAATCATCATTTGGAAATCTGACACCTACCGCTGAGTCGGGGGGGCTGAAGCCGCAGAGGCTGCAGACCTGGTTCTTACACTCGGTGCAGTTGTTGTAGTTGGGGGGGTCCTTAGAGCCCACGTTCAGCTGGGTGGTCTTACACAGAGGACAGGGACCCCCTCCAGACTTTCCAGCCCCCTGCTGACCAGGAGACCCTCCGCTCTTAGCTGGCTCCCCAGGTTGAGCCCCAGGACCTGGGGGCCCTTGCTTTCCAGGTCCTTGCTGAGGAGGGGCCCCCTGTTTGGCGCCTTGACCTGGTGGTCCTTGACCTGGTTTTGGGGCTTGTTGCCCAGGGGGTCCTTGGCCTGGCGGACCCTGAACTTGCCTTGGGGCCTGCCCAGGAGGTCCTTGACCAGGAGGACCCTGGCCTGATTTGGGCCCTTGGCCTGGTGGTCCCTGTCCCGGTCTGGGTCCCTGCCCAGGGGGACCTTGACCAGGAGAACCCTGGCCTGATTTGGGCCCTTGTCCTGGTGGTCCCTGTCCTGGAGGACCTTGACCAGGAGAACCTTGGCCTGATTGTGGCCCCTGTCCTGGTGGTCCCTGTCCTTGTCTCTGTCCCTGTCCTGGGGGTCCTTGGCCAGGAGGACCCTGGCCGGGTGGTCCCTGGCCTTGCCTAGGTGCTTGACCAGGCGGACCCTGGCTTAATTGAGGCCCTGGACCTTGCTTGGGACCCTGCCCAAGGGGTCCCTGCCCAGGTGGACCTTGGCCAGGTTTAGGTCCCTGGCCTGGTGGTCCCTGACCTTGCTTTGGATCCTGGCCTGGTGGTCCCTGACCTTGCTTTGGTCCCTGGCCTGGGGGTCCTTGCCCTGGCTTTGGCCCCTGTCCAGGAGGACCCTGACCCTGTTTCTGAGGTCCTCCCTGTTGTGGTCCCTTTTGCCCCGGCCCTTGTTGAGGGCCCTTGCCAGGGGGCCTACCTCCCTGTTTGGACTCAGGCGCTGCGGCTGCGCCCCCCTCCGCCTCATCCCCAAACATTCCAAACTTGGGCATATTGACGGTGTCGCCAATGGAGGACATGGAGGAGGAGACGGAGGAGGTCATGGCACTGAGGGGGTTGGCCCCGCTCAGGAAGCTGGAGCCAAACATCCCGGAGGACTTGCTCTCTGGGTCTTTTGGCTCCTGCCGGAATCTGTTTTCGAAAAGGCTGAGGGACGAGGGGCTGCGGCCCGGAGCGGCCTTTCCCGGTGGACCCTGGTTGAAGGCGTCTACAGTGCGACTCTTACTGAGACCTGTAGGGCCCCTGGAGGCCCCAACCTGCTGGGAACGCTGGGTATCTGATTCTGACGGTCTGGAAAAGAGAAAAACACAGATTAGTTAGCAGTGATTTTATTTGTAATGTGGGTTTTTATGTTGTGGGTGTTAAGCACTGTGAGAACATCTTATAAACCCACACAGCTGACCCAGAGCCTCAATTAAAACAGAGCCAACTATTAATGAGAGTTTAAGACCAGATGTTTCTGAAATAAACTCTAGCTCCTTTTCCCTACCTTATCCTTGCATTTCCATGTATTTGATGGCCACCCTCTGACATTAAAATCATGAAGACTATAACTTAACCAGCTGTCTCTGCTGAATAATAAGCCTTATAATAAACAAAACACTAATGCCGTCTGAAATATTCCAAACTTTGAGTATCAGTTGTCTTTTCATTCCATTTGCTTTTTTTCCATCTCACACATAATTGCTCAGGATGTTTGCTAACCCCTCTCCCTCTAATGTAGCTTCATTGTGCTAAGCTAAGTCCATCAACCTAGCCCTTTGTTAATCTCAGGCCCTTTCAACACATCAGTGAGCAGAGAATGTGTAGCGAGCAGCCCTGGGGTAACGCTGACAGGAAAGTGAATACTGCTGAATGACATGGAGTGTAGATCAGTGAGATAGAAAGGGAAATGCTCGCCTCCGCGGGGGTAAGATGAGACATCTTTGTTAGCTCAGGCTGAGAGGCAGCATACAACCTACACACACTGCTCAGCATGAGCGTGAAAGTCAACGGCATCCTTAGAGAAATGCATCAATGCACTAATGGGCTAATGTTGTGTTATTGTATGACGTGGGAATGCAACATACAGACCTAGTGTTATTTTAGCCTGCAGTTTGAAAGTCCCTATAGTGCTTCTGCCATTGTGTGAGTTAAATTACATTACCAGGCAATAAAGTGTAATGCAGTAATGAATACAGCATTTGAATTTTATGTATTTGTTTACAGTGGGTACTGAGTAATAGAAGCCTTTGCATTGTGGGAGCCCAGTACACATTGTAAGTATTGCTGTTGCAATGCCTGGGCTTCAATCGCCTGCGGGCTGTTTTTCAGCACCAAGGACAGCGACAAGACTCAAAAGGAAAAGGCCTCAACAACACAAGATGAAATCCTACTTTTAAATGAAGAAATATCAGAAAGCAGCAGCATTAGGAATGTCTACTATAGGGTGATTACATTAACACTGCTGTTCTATTAATAGTCATATTAATATTGATGCACCCCTCCCCCAGTCTCTAGCTCAGATATAAATACAAGTCTACCCCAAATCGGAGCCAATGAAAAATGATGTACATCATGTCATTTTGTCTGATATTGAGGAATATTTCCATATTACTGTATATCATGTAAGTATCATTCAACATCTAAAGTATCGTGGATCTGGCAGCACATTGTTTTCATTGGCAGCTCTCCACAGCCCATCACAGTCTCCATACATCCGATTCGAAATCCAATGTATGCGAGATTCAGAACTCTAGTTGGTAATAGTAGGGAGTGGATACATCCGACAAAGGTGGAGAGTTTGTTTAGTTGGGTGTTCACACGTCATTCAGATGAGAAAGAAAAGAAATAAAAAGCTCTGGGCACGACAGATTTTATACCCAGCAGGCATTTCGAAAATTTCGCACAAATATTGGAGGTGTGTCCCTTACGCTGTGATCTCACACAGAGAGAAATACCGTGGACACTAAAACCAATTCAGGCTAATTTAACACGTTCAATCTAAGAAAACAATCGGATGTCGAGCAGTTTGAACGAGGCTTGTGCATCTTGTACAAACAGCTGATACACAATGGCCAAAGCGGCAGCGTATCTATTGCCCAGCTAATATTAGAGCTGTATTAGGCTAGAAACCTTTTTTTTCTGCCATGCATATCATCAGATGATAATAAGCCATTATGGTGAGCTCTCAGAATACAATTATTTCTTAGGAGGCTCCAACATGGGCGTGAACGAGCTTCCTTGAGACGCTTTCCAAATGATGCTTCACACAACCAAAACACATCCACTCGTTCCTCTCTCTCGTAGCAGTGTGTATTTAAGAGCACGGGAAAATGCTGGTAAAAAACCCCTGCCTTCGTGCTGCGCCTCCGGGCTGCCTGCCCTGCGCCCTTGACATCGCGGCGGCCAGCTGCCTCCTCTGCTCTTCGCTCAGGTCGCCCAGGTTGACCGGAGTCCCTTCGGGGACCCGGACGAAGCCTCCCTTCCCGTCAGGTGCCAGCCCCTCCGGCAGCCCCGACAGAGGCCCTTCGCCTCCTTCCAGGCTCGCTTCGTTCCCCATGATCGACCCCTCCCGTCCCCTGTATTCGGATCAATGTACGATCCGAGCCCTGTCCGCGTTTTTATGTCCGAAGTGCGCAGCGACGACGGTGCTCCTCCGTGTGTGGAAACATTCTCAGATGATGTGTGTTCAGTGGTTACCGTCCTCTCCTGTCATCTCCCTCAATTTCCCTCATTTTCCTTGTTTTTCTGTGTCGCGCATCTCTGCAGCTGTAGGCTACACCACAGTTACCACAGTTTTCCGTGAGGGGGTCTCCGTCTTACTACTGCTCACAGTCACCGGTGGTTTCCGGTAGGTTTTGCAAAATAAAATCCAAGGCAATTGTCAAAAAGGTACTAATTACATTTAAAATAATATAATCTAGACTACATAACTGCTTAACATGCAGGCTAATTAACGACAACCTCAAAATTGTACCTTAATATAAACACATTCTACGACTCTCCACAGATACTAAGCCATAGGTGTAGCCTACCAGATGAATGGAATATGTCAAAGTTTCACTTAACATTTCTAGTTTTAATCCACCATCTAAACATTGCATTTATCGTAAACCCCAATAAATATGTGTAAAGCTTTTATGTTGACACCTAACTTTTACTTCTTCCGTGGTTTCCTATGTAACACTGGTTCTCTTTACGCACACTCTCCAACCGCCTCTGACAGGTGATCAGAAGACATCAGCGGGGGGGAAATATGTTTAAAGGGGACTTACTCAGCCCAACGTGTCTGGCTTTATTGTTTAAAGAATCCAAGCTGGTGAACAGGTGAGATTATGTATGCTTTTCTGAAGACCTATATTGTGGTTTTAAAGTAGAGCGACTAAAAGAAGAGGGTAGTCGTTTTTAGGTCAAATATCTGGGGCTCCAGTGAAAGGCTTGTGGAGGTTCATACTGTATGAACACACACCCCAGATTTCAAAATACAAAGTCTCTCAGTAGTGTTATATCCCAGGATGAATAATCTATTTCCCAGGGTATGTAAAATAAGTAACATCTTTATCCAATACTAGCCATTTAGTCCACAGATCAACAAAACATTTATATAGCAATATCACTTCAAAATACCATCACATTTTAGGGGAAATTGCTGCCATAAAATATTCAAACACACAGATAACATCTGCGAGGGTCTTCAGATGACTCATAACATGAATAATATCTCATCTGCTTTGTTCTATTTTCTCTAGATGGCTCATTTATATCTCGATCTTTTATATTCTCAAATGTGAAAGCTGGCAGAAGCATGTGGGAACATCAGGTTGTAGGCAAATTCATCATAATGAATTCTTAATCTGGTCTCATCTGAGATTGCTAGTGTTATCATAGCAAACACAGCATTTGATCAAATCGGTGTAATATTAAAAGCTCATGATGAGAAGACAATACAGAGGCTGCAGAATGCATCAGCACGCTCAAACCAAATGATAAAGGGCAATTCCATTACATACACTGAACATGGACGCAGAACAGACCTATAGTAAATGTAGCTCCACTGTATTGAGAATATGCACAGCCAGTCGCCTGATCCAACACGTAGGATATTCAAACACGTCTCCTCTGCTGTACATCAAGCTGATGTGTTGCATTATGACAACGAGTGCTCATTTGCTGTGTTGTCTGCGGAGCTCTGAGGCAGATGTGTCCTCTATACACCATCTCAGAGCCCTCAGTACCTGGACAGGGGGAGGGGGGGGGGGGGGGGTCTGTTCTAAAATGAACCGATCAAAGGCCAATATTTGTGTGTTACTATCCTTTATGTCTTCCTACATGGAAAAGCTTCTTAATAAAAGCGTTAAGGATTCACAACAAATCATCTTTAAACACAATGTCAGATGTGATGCAAGTGGATATGACATAGGCCTACCATGATTAGGTCCTTGCAAATGTGGGTTTTGGGTCGATTAGAGCCATTTCAAATATATAAAAAACAAAATTGCACAATTTCAATTAATGACGGAATGCACAACAAGTACATTGTTGCATATTTTCTAGGAGTTCGACATTTCATTACAATTATGTCCGCACAGTAATATGAAGCTACAACTAGCAGATGGTTAGCTTAGCACAAAGGCTACAAGCAGTGGGAAACAGCTAGCCTACATCTCTTCAAAGTTAGCAAAAACTTCTCCTGAAGCTCTCCCAAGTTTTGATTTGTTCATGCTAAGCTAAACTAAGCTAACTTTGGCATTGCTTTGTCTTCGACAGGGTTACATGCTTGATCAGTTCTCAATTTCTTACAAAATAAAAGCTTTACTTGACTTTTATATGGGTTATGTTCGGGAAGATAACGCACCAGGAAAGAAATAGTGCTTCACAGAAGTTACGCTAAAACCAGAACATGTACGATCATAACAAGTAAAAAATAATATGTTAAACGGTGAGCTTTAGAAATAGGCAGGCATATTTGTGGACGGAGCCAGGCTAAACGTTTTCCCTCTTTTGTTCAGTATTTCTGCTACGCTAAGCTAACCATATAGCAAGACCATGTTAAAAGTCCAATTAAAAAGATGACTGTAAATATGAAGATAATGTATACTTTATCTTCATCTTTTTAATTTACCAAGAGCAATTATCATGACATAATACAGAAGACGAGAGGAAATGGTCACATGTTGTTGACTTTAGTAAGTGTTGTGGTCATATTGTTCAATCCTCATCTTCACTGTTTCCTTTTATGCTTTGTGTTCTTCCCGGACAATATTCTCCAATTTATCTGCATATTTAGAATAATACTTCCCTTTCCTATATAAAGATATTTGTCTTTCTTATGTATATGTCTCCCTCGTGCTGTCAATCCTCCTCCTCCTCCTCCTCCTCCTCCTCCTCCTCCTCCTCCTCCTCCTCCTCCTCCTCCTCCTCCTCCTCCTCCTCCTCCTCCTCCTCCTCCTCCTCCTCCTCCTCCTCCTCCTCCTCCTCCTCCTCCTCCTCCTCCTCACCCTAGTCTATGTGTAGGCCGAGGTGAATCTTGCTCTCTGTCTCCAGTGATAAATGATGGTGTGTAGTGCTTCTCCTCTTCTTCCCACTGATCGCTGAAGCGTGGCCAGATTGTCTCTACGCTGTGAGGCGGAAGCAGCCCGTACATGATGCATGCTCTCTCTCTCTCTCTCTCTCTCTCTCTCTCTCTCTCTCTCTCTCTCTCTCTCTCTCTCTCTCTCTCTCTCTCTCTCACATTCACATAAACACATTGAGTGAAGCATCTAGTCATGCAAAGCAAACACACTCACCCAGACAGACAGACAGACCGGCAGACACGCACACGCACACACACACACACACACACACACACACACACACACACACACACACATACACACACACACAGGTGTAAACACACAACATCTAACGCAGGCGGCCTGGGGACAAACACTCTGAGGCATGTGCAAACCCAGCAGTTTATACACACACACACACACACACACACACACACACACACACACACACACACACACACACACACACACACACACACACACACACACACACACACGCTATAGAACTATTCAGATCCCAAATAAGGAGGCATTACCAATTCTGAAAAAGTCAACATGAGGGAATATTGTCCGCTAAATGTGTTGAACATATCAAAAGAGAAAGAACTGTTGCTGCCTGTTATTGACGTATTATTTGATGTGACATTATATTATTGACCTAATAGCATGTAAGGTCTCACAAGCCAAAAAGGTAGAGTTGTAGTGAATCTTTATTAATGCCTCTTCATTTTTTTTTTTTAAATGTATCTAGTGGCTAACGCTAAGATAAATGTTGTTCAAGAAGTACAATATATTTCCTTCTGAAATGAAGTATAGGAATAGTACACCTGAACTTACACTACAGCAGTATGTTCTCCTACCAATGCATTTAAATATGACATTATCAGTTTGTGTGAAATGTATTTGTGCTGAGCAGCCTGGCTAATGTAACCTGAGTCTGGTAACCAGATAACACACACTGCACCGTGTTCATTAAATTTGAATACACAGTTGGGGCATCAGGTAAAGACACAAAGGCAGTTTCTAACAGTACAAAAACGAATAATGTCCATCTAAACAAAACATTTTGCAGGTTTATGCAATAAGACAACTCACCAAAGACACCTCAATGATACCTGTTACACATACATGTACCTCAACAGCTCTTTTCCCTGTAGTAGGTTTAGCTCAAAGCTACTAGAACCTTCCCTAGAGAGCTTTCTCTCCATAATCACCTCTTCTATCCAAAACGAAATGGTTACTTCTCCAAAAGACAAGCAGAAATAAGTTACATACCTTTATTTGATCGTGTAATCGCGCAGGAGTATGCTTCCTTTCAGTTGTTGTGTGTGAGGTGAGGCAGCTCCCGAGTGACGACTTATTTTGCACGTGATGTTTAATTTCTGGTGAATTAGCACTGAGCTTTTCTAATTCCTATTAGCAGCCTGGCAAGTGCCTAACAGTCCCCCCCCCACCCCCCCCTCCCCCTCGACAGCAATTTCTCCAGACCAAACGAGACACTGTGGACTAAAAATACCTTTAAAGTCGCAGAGGCTCCCCTGCTGTCCTTACTCCACCTTACTATCTGGTATTTTGTACACAGGTAGGCGTGCACCTGCTCTCAGCACATACACACACACTGGTGCAAACACAGGGTCTGATGACACACTCATGCACAGACATAAGAGGTCTCTCTAATCCTCTTTTCTTCTGAGAGATAGGCCAATCACACACTGCTCTGCGCTGTAAGCTGTGTTCTTGTACACACAGTGTGGAGTCCTGCTGTGCCTCTCTGCTACAGTTAACTCACTGGCAATCAAGTGAAACAACAAAACACACCAGCAGCAAAAGGCTCCAAAATCAATTATTCTTCCCCTTGCCAAAACGACATTTTACCCTCAGAATATGTCCCCCTTACAGCTGCCATAAGCCCCCCAAGCTGCAGTATGAATCCAATACACCAGCATCTGTGGAGACCACTAAAACAAACAAGGGAGGTGGATGACTTTACTGCATCATTACAAGAAACTTTTGTATTACTTCTCTGCCAACATCTCAGTAAATGAGCTAGTAGATCATTTTAATTCAAAAATTAAAAATGTTATAGATGCCATTGCTCCAACTAAGGTAAAGGAAGTGTCTGGCAAGAAAATATCTCCATGGAGAAAGGCCATGACCGTGAAAACAGAAAAAAGAGAATGTCGAAAAGCTGAACGCAGGTGGCGAAAAACAAATCTCCAGGTTCACTTTGAAATCTATAAAGAGA